AGAAGTTTCCATTTAATTATGGAGGCGGAACCAACTTAAAAAAAAAATAATAAAAAAAAAAAAAAAAAAAAAAAAACACTGCAGTAATTATTCATTTTAGTGAACGATCATGTCAAGGAATTCGAATGGGGAATCAATTCTGCTCGGACCATACACGGTCCCAGGCCACAATGAGTGATAAAAGTATAAAATGGGAATACATGCGAAAAATTCTTTGAAGAAAATCTCCTAAACAGAGCTTGACCATGCTTATTCAAGCATCCGCTGGGAGTGTAGATGTCAATCTGTTTAAATCCTGACACTGGGGTATGGTGTGGTCGCAATAGGAAGTCAACATTTTAAAAGAAAATATTTTTAAATTATGAAATTTCAAATCAGCATTGCCGTTATTCAGTCATGTTAATGGGCAAGAAACCATTCGTAGTGCATAATTAGTCATAGTCTACGGGGTTTTGGTGGAGCTTCGATAAGTGATCAGAGTTTTACCTGGATATAGAGAAGAAATTAAAACTTTTTTTTCAAAGAGAGTAGCAGAGCCTCACTAAAATAAGAAATATTGCATGCGATGTGTGGATTCTTTCTCCTTCAAAGTATTGATCCTTCTTTTAGGGTTCAACTGATATCGGGGTTCATATATTTTACACAATGCATTTATACATGAAAGAATGTTAGTCATTTTTATACCCCACTGTTGTGTAATTTCCTCTTTGTGAAATAAACCCCCCTGAGGCTAAATTGAGGCCACAATGTGGAGTCATTTTTCTAAAATAGAGTGAAAAAAATCATTAAGATCTTCTAAAAAGCAACAGGGTTAGAGTAACTGAGACGAAGATTTGGCCCCCGGGTCTCTGAGTTTACTTTTGAAGGGAAGAGGCCGAAGAAATGTTACTAGAATGTTTGTATTAGATGTAGATGGATTGGAGGTGGGCCAATGTGATATAGGTGAGAGACGTGGCCTCTGGGTCTTTTTTTTTTTTTTTTTTTTTTTTTTTTTTTTTTTTTTTTGCGAAGGAGCCCGTAGCAATAGGCAAAGAATGATAAATTGAAGATAAATTGACTTGCGTCATCTTGTGAAGGTGGATGAATTAAAATGATAAAATTACGATTTCAGAAAAAAAAAAAAAAAACAAGAGCAGTCAGTAAAATTAAGATAGCACTAATTTAGAACACCCAGCTGTATTTGTGTGTCTAGAATTGGTAACGGTGATAAATGTTGTATATACATGAATTATTTGGTATTCGATTTTCTGATACGGTGTATAATACCCCCATACACCAACGCAAACATTGCCATTCAAAAAGAACTATCAGCAAATGTAAAAATCATAAATATAAGTGATATAATTAGTAGCATATTAATAACTATTTTACAGCTCGCCTGATACAGAGAAATTCAAATGCAAGGTTCTGTATATATCTGAAGTAAATCAAATCTTGTTTTTTGAACAATTAATTGCTCCGTTGCATGCAACCAGCCTCTTAAAAATATGCACTTTCACAATATTTTTGTTTAGTTTCACTTTATATATTTGAAACAAATTCAACGGATAGTTTAAAATTGTTTGTAATTTAACTAGATTTTCTTAAATATGACAAAAATTCAAACGAGAAAAGGACTTTTCAATCTTAAGGATGGACATGGGAAAGGGCTCTTCCCCTTCTCAATTCCTTATTTACATCATAAATGGCAAACCAGATTTTGCGTGTGCTGTGGAGAGAAGAATTGGAGGCATTTATATGCCTATGATTCAAATAAAATCCATGGAATGATAAATACAGTTTTATGAAAACCAAATGTGCACGAACGCATTAAAAAGTTTATCCCACGTAGATTCTATGTTGTTTTTGTTTTATTTTCTCTCTCTCATTTAAATCAAACATGCTATTCTTTACTAAGGAAACTGCATATAACAAGCAAAAAACATCCATCTTGCCAATTGAAACGATTTATCCCTTTTATCTGAAAGTATTGAATGCTAACAGCAATTACTATAAATTCAAATTCAGCCGTCTTGGTGAGGTGGCAATATTTCATACTAGTATATTGTCCCCGACGATATTTTTAGTCAATAAATGCTAAAGGCTGGTGACAAATACGACATAGAATGTAGCATACGTACATTGTCGTCAGTGTTGATACATGTAGTACGACATACTTTAGCACAGTCATATATTATCACTGACTAAAAACAAATGTCAGGAATTGTTTGGGGGGAGGAGTATTTTGCGTATGGGGAAATGAAAAATAAAGTGAGACAAATCTACATTGTATCTTGTTCGAATTATCGTATCTGCGAATATGGAATGCTTTTCTAAATCACCGAGGTATAAAAACTGAAACGGTAATAATTTCTGAAATTCACTCTAAGTAAAAATAATTTCAGAGTTGACGTCAAACATGTGCAGGGTTCTCCCGTCATTTCAAATTTCACTGTGCCGCAAACTTTACGCGAGGAGCTAATATTCGCGGGATTTTCGCGATCAAATAGTTCGCAAATGAACCACTATTCATAGAAGTACAAACGGATGCATGCACATACACTTTTTGTATCACAAATTTGTTACACATGTACATCGTGAGACCCCCCCCCCCCCTCCACCCAGCCCAACAGATACAGCATTTTAAAAATAAACAAACATAACTTTAAAACACCTTTTTTTAAAAAAAAATATAACTTCATAATTTACACATACATTGAAGAGCAGAGGAAATTGTGGTGTGCCATACAATCCATTTATGTAACCATTTTTAAAAGAAAGTTTGTCAGTTGATCAAGGTAACGGTACGTTTTTCGCATATTAAAAAAAAAAAACAAAAAAAAACAAAAACAAAAAAAAAAACAAAAAAAAAAACTTTGGAATAATAAGATACCCTTCGGGGTGCCCGTTATTTATCATCATTACATCAACAGATCAATAATTGATTACGATACTATAGGGTGACCTAACCATGCATCGGACACATACCTTTTACTTTTAAATGATGCCGATTTTTAATTTTATTTTTATGTTGTGATAAAAAATACTACAATAATGGCCTTCAAATTACGTCATGCTTTGCATCATCAAAGGGGAGTAACCAGAATTTTACAATATTGCAATTTTAAGAGTTGTCGTTCTTTTAAAAGGACTTCAACGGAACGAGTCAGACCTTGGTAAAATTTGTCAATGATCAGTTATTTTAAGGAAATTTTTAAAGAATTTTACTTCAATGTTTGTATAATATTTCTTAGAGTTACTTTTTTACTAGTATGTTTATTTCACCGCACATCGGACACAAATTAACCATGCATGGGACACTTTTCGATGCATGGGTAATCACTTCCATTTTCATATAAAACCCTAGTCCGATATATCTAACGTTTTCCAGGTTTTTTTTCACGATTTTAATATTTTACGTGCCAGGAAAACGCCAGAACTGGCGCCAGTACGAACATTGGAAATTTGCCACCTCAACTGCAGGAGGTATTCTCGGGTTGTTTTTCAATACTTGCAAACCGGGTTAAATGCTGAATTCACAACTTAATAATAGTGCAATGCCTGTAGTACTCACCATGGTGATAACCCACTAGACAAAGGCTGAGTTGCCAGATTACTAGCATTGTAAAACCTTTCTAAGGAGATGTGATGCAACTAGAATCTCTTCACAGTTGTGGATTGAAATACTCAAACAAATTGAACTAGAAGGTTAACTTTTAGATAAAAGATAAAAATGTTTCGATATCACTCATTTTAAAGCACCAAAATCAAGGTATGATATTTTTTTCTGGTTTAAATACCGTATGCCCGATGCATGGTTAATATTGTCCGATCCATGGCAAATTCTGACTTATTTCGAAAAAATCGGTTTTTAGAGATATTTTCTCAATAAATAGAACACAATTGTATCAAAAAATTATATTTTAACCACATACTACATGTTAAGTTCAATTTTGTAATGTTTGATCAGTAGCAATATCGCTAGTATTTATTGAAGTGCGAGAGTGTCCCATGCATGATGAATTCACCCTACTTGTCTTAAAGTGCCAACCCAATTTTAGAGACCCGGGAATTGTTAATATCACAAATTTTATGCATTTATTTTTTATGATATTATGACAACAGTTCAAATATCACAAGACAATGTGAATTTTGTATATTTTTCTGTATATAATGAAAAAAATTCAAAGCCAATATTAGAGAAACGTGTCGTCTGACATTAAAAATTCGACAAGCAATAACATGTATACAGTAACATGCAAGTGAGAAAAAACATGACATGCCATTGTTCCTTTATGCATTTTGTCCAGTGTGGGTCTGACAGAAAATTGATTTTGCAAGTTTAAGGTGAACACAGACTATAGGACACAATTAATAGTTAAGTAAATGTTCTAAATTGAAAATAGAAAAAAAAAATGTAAGATTTGTTTAATTTAAATTTCAGTTACAGAGAATTTAAGTTCCTGATTTTCCGATCATCGCAGATCTTACTGTGGCACAAAGATTTTACTATGGCTCATCCGCATAAAATTTTAATTGTTACATTGACATGGGCATTAAATTTTATTTTGTCGGGGCCGATTCAGTAAAAGGCTTATGGGGTGTATCTTTATCAATATGTTACAAGCAGAAAATAAGTGATAAAAATCATTTCCCTTGGTATTTGACATTTTTTTCTTTTCTTTTATTTACTTGGAATTACTTATACCGTGTCAAAAACATATTTTGCCACTGAAATTCTCTCTCCCTGAGGGATATAATGAAGATAGTATAATAAAGAAAGTAATCTGACTCGTTCGAAAACTGTACAGGCTTCTGAATCAATCGTTCATCAAAACGAGAACATGTATGAGTACTTGTGTAATGAAAGGACAACATTACATGTATTTGCATGTACATGAATAGAGAGAGGGGAATGCTTGCATTGGAAAATATACTTAATTTAAATTTAAATTGTGTTTAAAAAATATTTTTTTTTACTTTCTACAGAAATATTAAATGCTTCAAGAAAGATGTCTTTTTTGTTTTAAAGACGAAATCTCAAAGACGAAGATGAAAGTGAGTATGCTTTACTTAACTTTGACATAAAAAAAAAAAAAAAAATAAAAAAAAAAATAAAAAAAAAAAAAACTATCGTTATCTAGTGTTTACTATAGTGTCAAGTATACACCTGGCTTCGATTTACAGTAGAAAATACCTGAAACTTTCATTTACAAACATTTTTATTCGTTACATTTAGTAACTTTAATATTTGATTTACGAATTTTAAAAAAAAAATGCTACAATGAATACTTCAGAACTCATTTTTTTTTTTGGGTGGAAAAACGTTGTTTTTCGATTTATTATAGCAAATTCTGTGGAACTTTGATTTACTACAGTTAACTATAGCAAAATATTAATTAATTAATTAATTAAATATTTTTCATTGTTGTAAATTGTAGCTAAATATTGTGCTAAGATTTTTTGGTGAATTTCGATTACTTTGGAAAATACTCTGATATTTTATAATAAAAGTAAATAATTCCATTCTTTATTTCCTTTATCAAGAACTTAAACAATTTGATAAACTAAATGAAATAAATGAAACTTTAAATTACTGTAGTGAAACTTATTAATTTATGAAAATATTTACATGTAACTAAAATTCAATAAGTGAATTATATGTAATGTTTATTACAGTATACTGTAAAGGTGTGGTGGATAAGGTAGTAAGCTTTAGCCCGAAGAATCGAAGTTTAGATTAAAGGCAGTCATAGATAATATGCGCTTGGCTGCGTGATTTAGTACTGTTGTTCAAGGTTGTTGTTTAATGTACCTCGATTTCTTCGAGGATATTTCACTCTTATTAGAAACAACTAATTTCCACTGGGATGCTGCAAATTTCGACATGTAGTCGCTAATTAAGTCCATTAACTGTGAGGATTTTTTTGTACCAGCATCTTCTGCGACATGTGACCTCAGTTCTTAAAGGTCAAGCTGTCAATTTCAAATATGTGACACAAGATCATCCCTTTACTTGCAACTGTAAAGAGAAGAGTATCCTTCGCTTTTACAAATTGGACCACATACTTTTGGCATTTATAAAGATATGTTTATGGAAGATATCCATGTTTTATATTTGATATCACTTTACTCAAAGTATTGTCTCTTTTATTTCAATCCTCTGATATATAGTTTGAGTTCTTAAGAGATTTTTTTTAAAATAAATTAACCAATAGTTTATTTTTCGCATATAACAAACCTTTATCTTTCCAAAATATTACATGTAAAAAAAAAAAAAAAAAAAAAAAAATCTGTAATTGCAAATATTGACGTCCAAATTTGTCCCTTAATTTTTTTGATTGTTTGTGAAAGACCTGAATATTTATTTTATTTTTTGCACTATATTTATTAGGAACACCAAAATATATGTTTTTGTCATTTCAGTGCTTGGTGACTGGCATGTGGCAAACTAGCCCTAAGGATGGTATTAACCTTAAATGTACATAGTTATCAACATGCATTTCTTGTTTTATTTTAGTGTTTGCAGAATTCGTTCCTGATTTTTATTATCCCTCTACCATACTTTAGCATCGCAGAACTACCAAGCAGAGCATGTGAATATTCTTCTCAAACCGTAGAGCCGACAAAACTATGTCCGAGTACACAAAATGAGTACAATGCTGCAGCGAAGCGGAAAAATTGCAATACGTTTAAACACAATTGTACATCATTCCAATATCATTGTGTTCTTAATGAATGGATGACTGGATTAGTTGAAGTATGTGCGCCTTCGAAATTTATTTTTGGTAAGACATTCATAACAAAATACTAATATAAAAATATAAACATATGCTTTCAACATCGTGTGTAATATTTTGTATTGTTAAAAGGGTATTGACAGTAATTGTAGACTGAGTATGATATAATATTTTTTTGTGTTAACAGGTGAACAGTGTACTGAGTTCAACAAAGAACTAAAGACTATTCGCAGAAGCTTCTTAACAAACTGTTCTGCATTTGATCCACCATGTCCAAACCCATATAACTCCACTATGGGATATATGTGTAATAAATTCTAAAAGATTGCCATATTTCCACATACATAAATGCGTACATTTTTCTACCTATTTAACATTGCTTTACATTGAATTCAACTTATTTCATCATAATGTTTTGTCTTAGCTGCTCTAAGGATTTGAATTCAGGAAGAGAGACATTTGGACTGATGCCCGTCTGCTACCTGTCTGTCTATCTGTCTGTCAACCTACCGTGACAATTTCTGTCTAAAAACATGTACATGTTTAACTCTCAAACAACGGATTGAAATATTTTTAGATTTGTGAAGGTTGTTTCTGATATCACAATTTCCGAAATGTTTGATTTTGGTTCGATGAAAAATCTTTATGGTCAATGAAAGTAGGTAAACAATATTGAACAGTTTTCGAATTCTATGTTGTGAGACCTTAATTATAATGAAAGAGAAAGATTTTTCTCTGCCTGACTGCTGGTTGCCTGGAGATGTTCCTTGAACCCTATGCAATGTTAAGGATAAGGTTACTTAAGGTAGAATGATAAAATTCTTATTCAAATATTGGGAAAAAAATCTTTCAGATTGTTTAATTGATTGTATGTTGTTCTACGTCCAGTTCGAGAACTTTTCACTAATATAGAGACGTCACCATATTCCGGTGAAGGGCTTCAAATTTAGATCTTCACTTAGCACTCAGGACCATTGATCAGTGAGGGTTCTTTATCGTGCCACGCCTCGGTTTTTAAGGTCTCATCCAGATGACCCGCAACTTTCACTTCAAAGAGCCGTGCGCTTGACAAAGGAACAGTTGCTACCAGTTTTTTAATCGACTTAGATCAGTAGCGGCCATGATTCGAACACACGACCTCCCAATCACGGAGCGAGCGAAATCTCTTTTAGACTTGTTGATACTTGAGAACAAATGCAGAAGACAATTGACCTACTGACTCAAGGACATAGCTTCAATTTATGAAGATATCCAGGAATATTTGGAAAAACAAATGCATTTTCTGTCAAAATATTCTAGATTTAATTATTTTTATGAATAGATCCTGACTGTTATTTCACCATTGCCACAACTTCTAGAGTTAAAGAACTGCCTACAACACTGAACACATTGAATTCTAATGAAACTTCAAAGAACAACAATCACAAGTAAAGAAACATAATTTTTGACTTTCTTGCATTTGGCTGTTTCTAATGTCTATTGAGTTTTCTCACAATTATAATTTTTGTTTTATCACAAGTTTACTCATGTCATGGATGTAAGCCATAGGATATCGTTTTCATTTACACATGATGACGTCACATCGATTTCTGCGTTAAAGTATGAAATAAATCAAAATGTTTTCACACATTAGGACAGTGTAAACCATGTGGTAGCTTTGTGTAAAACATGCGATAGAAAATGCAAATTTCAAATGAAGACACGTATCTGTTGCTTAGTAGATATATTTAATGAATTATGAAAATGGGCTGAGATCATGAAAAAAGTCCCATTTTTCCAAAGGAAAATGATCAAATGTTTTATATAAATATAATTTTAATCTGGTGACATGTACATGTATAAACGGTATATGATTGGATAAAAAAAACAAACTTTTTTATCGAAGTAAAAACTGGGCTGCTTACTGCACAATGACTAATGTCAAAAACCTATCGATCCGCTTGACGTTACATTAAAATTCTGTACAGTTATACACAAAATATTGTTTCCCAGTAAATGCTTCTGGTATGGAATTTGATCCTGGGGTTTTAACTGAATATAGTTTAATTGGTATTGTAAATCCAAATTTATTGTAAGAACTAAAACATTATACATTTTCTTTTAAATATAGGTCAAGACAAAAATCTGCTCCAAATCTCAGGAGCGAACCTCTTTAAGTCTGTTCTCAGTTTATGGTCTTGGGCCGGAATTTCAAAACACTGCCCGTCGTCATTATAAGAAAAAAAAAATGATGAAAATAAATTAGCATTATATGATACGTAATTCTTAAACTTTAATTCTATACGAATCACATATGATATTAACTGTGTATGCTTTTTAATCCCATTTCATATATTTGTTGACATTAATTCTCGCCCAGTTTCATTTTCACTCGGAAAATCTTAAATCAACAGTTATGATTTCCTGGTTTAGGAATATAACCCCCGTCATTTGCTTATTTATACCGTCCCAAAACGACAATATTAAAGCGACAGTACTGCTGCAAAATATGTGCTTTTTCATCCAAATTTACCCAATATGTCATTAAGAAATAAGGTATAAAGTTGATGTAAGCAGTTTGAGAAACAGAAATATTCTCTACTCAAACAAAATTAACGTAATTAGAATCTGCCGGAAAATCAAGGGTCGTACGAACTGGAGCAATCTTAGATCTGTTTATTTGTACCACGTGAATTCTAAAACGGCACGTGCCTACACTGTAGAGTTTACATTTATAATGAATAGTAGGTGAAAGCAAATTTCAAAAACACAAATTATCATAACTATCTGATAAATAATCTAAAATAATAATCGTAAAGATTTTAGTCTGCATTCAGGCGAATTTAACAGAAATTAAAAGTACAAATGTTTACGTTTTGTCTATTGGGGTTCGAGAAAGGAAACACAAACTAATCATACGTTATCGCGGCAAATGTCAAACAAAATATGTTTCTGCACAGTTAAAAAAATTAGCATTTCAAATGGCAACAATGTTTATAAGTCAAAGATGTATTTTTTATGTTGAGATTACACTATTTTTTTTCTTTGAAAGCGAAGGAAAAATGAGAAATGATAACAACTGAACAAGTATCAACAAACCTGTCGAATAGAACTTTCGTCAGGCTTCGAGAGCCCTGCGTGAGTGTCGCCGAGTTCCCGTTTCTTCCTTATCCAGCGATTATATTAACCCCCAAACTAAATTTTACGCGGGTACGTTAAGGCAGTACACAGATCACATTTCGGCGTATTAAGACTTTTTTCGTAAAATGTAACATTAATAAATCGGAAAAGCCATAGATAAAACATTTACTATTATTATCCATTGTATAGACGTCATTGAGTCTGAGGCTAATAGAAGCACTCCACTACGACGTCATCACGTGACGTCTATAAATAGAAAAATTACCTTAATGAAAAAGTGAAAAGTTCAACACTTCCCCGGGGATAATTCATTTCTTTTTGTGAAAATAATTATGTAAAAACATTACTAGACCATGAAAAGTGCTGCTAGAATCCTACTCTCCAAACACAGAAAAAATTATTCTAAAGTTTCGCATGAAACCTTACCAAAATTTTTACATTCAATACATACGATCAAGGAATTGTCATCATTTTTGTTAATCACACGATTCTAGCAGCACTTTCCAAGTACAATAGAATACAAGCTTTCGATACAAACAAAAATTATATTTCACAGTATGCGGCGTAGTGTTGAACTTTTGCATCTTTGTTGTTATAGAGCGACAGAGGAAAGGCTGATCGGGATTTCAAAGCACTGCCTCTGTTCATTATAAGAAATCATGATAAGAATATATCAGCGTATCTGATTCTTAATCTTTAATTCCTTATGAATCACACATAACATTCAATGTATATGCTTTAAAACTCCCATTTCATATATTTGTTTACATGAATTCTCGTCACGTTTCATTTTCACTCGGCAAATATTTGATCAATAGATATGACGTCATGGGTTTGGTATTTAACCCCCGTGAGAAATACTTAGCTATTTATACCACCCAAAAACGACTAGATTTAGTTTATATTATGTTTTTGAATGATTCCATTCATTTCTTGGATCTGAAATTAAGCTTTAAATATAGATTTTAAGAAATCATTATTTCTAAAGATCACGTCATACAGCTTACTATGACGTCATATTGTAAAGGCAAGTAGGATATCTCTGGGTGTAGCCTTAACATACCCGCGTAGTCAGGAAAGTTGCTTTTTCAAGTTCTATTTTCAGTTTCTTTTTCTTTTTGGTCGACTTTGTCAATGTAGCAGGCCTACCGGGATTCCCTCTCTAACCATGCTCTTTTGTTTATGAAAACTATGCATGCGTGCATAGCATGGAATGTGAAACCCCGAACACGTTGCGATGTATATATTTACGTCCCATAAATAACTATTAATTTTAATGAAATAATCCAAATTATTTAATTGTAAAAGTTGTAATTTTCTGAAAGTTTATACATTTATGAGTAGTAAAAAAATTCCAAATCTTGTCGGAAAATTTTATCTAGTCAGTTTTTTGATGAGATGCGCCGTACTGTCAATTTAAGTTTATATTAGGCTTTTGATATTTCCATTAATTTCTTTGACTTAAAAGAAAACTGAATATAAATATTAAGAAATCTTTATCTCTTAAGTTCATGTCATATTTTATAGGAAATCTACGTTAAGTATAAAAAAAAAATAAACCTGATTTTAGAGTACCATGTGAAATTGTTCTCGTTGAAAACCATTGTTGATCTTTGCTGTACCTTGGTCAAGAATGGCTTTCGTGGGATAATAATTTCACATGTTATCTTAAAAGCAAGATATGTTTCATTTTTTTCCCAGAAAAGCTGCAGCAGAAACAACTCCTAGTGTCATCATAGTCGCTGTTGTTGCTTCTGCGTTCGTAGGCATTACAATCATCATTGTATTTTCTTTTTTCCTAAAACGAATCAGTAAGTATGCATCAAGCAATAGTTTCATTATCATATATTTTTGATAGATAATTTACAATATGACCGCACGTAGCAAAATTCGAATGTATTTTGCAAATCAATTTACAATGCAGCAAAGGCCTTCTTTTAATGTAGTGTTTTTTTTTTTGTTTTTGTTTTTTTTTTTTTTTTGTTTTTTTTTTTTTGTTTTTGTTTTTTGTTTGTTTGGTTTTTTTTTTTTTTTTTTTTTTCGATTCTAGTATTTGTATTATCTTGCCCTTCTTTTAAAATAAATTCTAAACTCTTTTTTCATTTTCTTTTTTAAAGAAAGAAGTCAAACAAATAAATCATCAGATGAAAAGACAACAGGAAAGATGAACTTGCTGCATTTGGTGAGAGAAACTATGTACTCGCACTTACAACTTTATCACCTTTAAATTTGGGATTTTATCTATATGCTAGGTTATTACAACAGAGAGTCTGTTTACCTGAATAATAGGGAAAACGTTAATATGTAGGATTTATCTCCCATCAAGCTCTTTCCTTATACATTGCATGTTACTCTTCTATTCTTAACTTACCTTTAGTTATTCTTTACTCGATAAATGTCTGCCAATATGTAACAAGAACTGCGAATCTCGATTTCTTTGTAGGACCCAGTTGAAACAAAAGAAGACCTGAAGAATGGAGAGTTTGCAAAAACACAGCTGAACTTGTAAATTATGTTTGCAGCAATGCTATTCTGGGAACAAACATGAAATTTCTCAACTGTAGAATAGATACAGTTGTACACGGATCATATACGATTGATTGTCTCTTTTTTTTTTTCATTACGATAGAAAGTGCAATTTATCTTGGACGCTAATGTTACAAACAAATCCAAACTTTGAAATCACCCTTCTCACTTGATGTTAAGGGTTCATTTTTATGCCAGCAAGAGAAACATAGGAAATGTTTTTTCCTGAAAAAGAGTGTCTGTTTGAATATGTAAAATATTTTATAGAGTTCTTTTATTATATTATTATTGAATAATATTTGGAAAATAATATTTTTACATTGCTTTAACAATGCCTTATCCTCTCATTTTTCTCGTGTAATGAAGTTCTTTTAAAGAAATGTTTCAACTGCCTTTTTTAATTTCTGATAAGAAATGTTTAAGGTATTTATTCATTTTTTTTACTCAATGGAACAAAAAGCTAATTTACTAGTCCATGTATCTAGGCTTTTAAGGTTGAATTTTTTTCATTATATTTAACATAGGGTGTCTGGTGATTGTATTATCTTTTGCTGCAATTTTTACTATAGAACAATAAGACTATTTTTTTCTATTAATTAATAAGTTTGGCTCGAGACATCATTGACTACTACATCGGGAATAATATTACGTGTTGCATACGAATCTTAGTTACTTGGGCAAAGGAGGTCTAATAAATCCAGCCTTGATTGGAAATGAGCATCTAGAGAGCATCTAGAGACAACTATTGATGAAATAAATACGCTGACATACATGTACCACATGTTTTTTTTTTTTTCCAGGTGTATAAATTTGTCATATGAAGCTCAAAACGCAATCTAAATGAAAATTCTCATATAAGAATAAACGTATGGGTGATTTTAAATTTTTTCATTATTTTAAAGGAGTTTTCAGATTTCTGAATGTATTTATTCATTACTTCATTACCAGAAAAGGTTCGATATTATAAAATAATTTAATTTTGTTTGTATTCTAGCCTCTGATTGGTTAATATCCATAAAGGAACACAAATTATTTCTGTATAACCTGGTTTGGTATGGGGACATCCGATGAATATCACTGTGTACCAGCCGTTATTACTTCTCTGAACTACCAAGATATGACGTCATAATATAATATGACGTCAAGTCACTGCAAACTTGAGCAGTCATGACGGGGAAATTGTCATAACTTTTACATTCCTTCCCATGGCATGTAGATTTTATTTCGACGTTGATGTTTAAATCAGGTGTCTGAATTGTTGGTTAAAGTTTCTATGTGCTGTTATGATGGTTATTATTTGCAATAAATATCTTTATTCTTTTCTCTTTCTGATAATGTACGTATTCAAACAATAACAAAAAAAATGAATATGAAACGCCACCCATTACACGTCTGTAGACAGAGTTAGAATTTATAAACCATGCATATATTAGACTGGCACAAGTGATTAATAAAGATAAACTGAAGAAGTTCTATGTGAATCTACTAGAGAAGTGTGTCTTCTAACTGTATTTTGCTGGGGGATCGTATGTAATTTATCCCATTTTGTGTAAATTGCGATGAAGAGTGGAAAATGCCCCCTTGTATGTGGGTAAGTTGAATTTCTCGTGAAATATTTTCTTAAGAAGAAAAACTCAGACTTGCCCCCAGCACTTTATATATACCCAAGAATACATTTAATTGACTTATGTTACAAACTGTTCTCAATAATTTTGTTTTTCACTTGTGCCGATGGGATTTTTGTGCAATCATCGGAAAAATTTATAAGTGTCCGTCACGTGATCAACACAGTCATGTGACATCACAAATTTGCTTTTTCACAATAGCTTATTAAACTCTCTTCACAAATTTACTGCAAATATATACATAGATTATAAATTGAAATCAAAATCTAGCTCAAAATATAATAGCGTATTTCTAATGTATATAAAGCCTTCGGACAGCTATGGCGTGTAAAACGTTGCTTTATTCAACAATCTTGTGATGTATGTTCAAAATCTTGTGATGTATATTCAAAATCTTGTGATGTATGTTCAAAATCTTGTGATGTATATTCAAAATCTTGTGATGTATGTTCAAAATCTTGTGATGTATATTCAAAATCTTGTGATGTATGTTCAAAATCTTGTGATGTATATTCAATATCTTGTGATGTATATTCAAAATCTTGTGATGTATGTGCAATATCTTGTGATGTATATTCAAAATCTTGTGATGTATGTTCTATAATCTTGTGATGTATGTGCAAAATCTTGTGATGTATGTTCTATAATCTTGTGATGTATGTGCAAAATCTTGTGATGTATATTCAATATCTTGTGATGTATATTCAAAATCTTGTGATGTATGTGCAATATCTTGTGATGTATATTCAAAATCTTGTGATGTATGTTCTATAATCTTGTGATGTATGTGCAAAATCTTGCTATGTATATTCAAAATCTTGTGATGTATGTTCTATAATCTTGTGATGTATGTGCAATATCTTGTGATGTATATTCAAAATCTTGTGATGTATGTTTATAATCTTGTGATGTATGTGCAAAATCTTGTTATGTATATTCAAAATCTTGTGATGTATGTTCTATAATCTTGTGATGTATGTGCAATATCTTGTTATGTATATTCAAAATCTTGTGATGTATATTCAAAATCTTGTGATGTATATTCGATAATCTTGTGATGTATGTTCAATAATCTTGTGATGTATATGCAAAATCTTGTGATGTATGTTCTATAATCTTGTGATGTATATGCAATAATTGAATTGTGGGTAATATTCGACTTAATTTCGATACCTTTGTAAAGACATTTTTCATTGGTCTCCAAAGTGAAAGTAGAAACGCTGTGAAAAGGAGAGTCCTCAGTCCGGGCTTGGGGTCTGTAATTTTATTTTACACTGATAAAGTCGATAACTTTTGCGCAAATCTGAGAATCCTGTTAGCAGTGAACATGTCCTAAAATTTTTGTACAACGAGGAAATTCTGCATGTCCATCCAGGCGTAGATGAAAAGAAAGTTGTACAAAGTCACTGTAGGTATAGGTACGTATAGGAGTGCAATTTTGATAAAAAAAGGGAATCATCATGATCATAAACATTTTTTTTATGAGAAAGTGATTGTACGCGTACATGATTACGCATTTTAGATTAACCCTTTTAAATTGTAAATTTACTTTTCCATGACTTTTTCATCGAAGAAATGAATGTAGCCCAATATTTTTTTCTTTGACCGAAGTATCAAACAAAAATTTGGATGGAAAACTTTTTCATCCTACGCGCATTGATGACGTTTTCTGTCCAATTTTTTCTTTGATACTTTGGTCAAAAAATTTTTTTTACATTTATTTCTTAATTTATTTTACCCCCCCCCCCTCCCCCAGAGGTGGGTGGATCAAGGCAGGTCTTTACTTCCAAATTTTCACTATGATTTTTATATTTTTTTTATTCCAGTTAACTCTAGTTACGCAGTATCTGCTTGCACTGTGAATGCCCATTGGATAACTTCATATGACATCATTTTGAAACAACCTCTGCACCTCTGTTGTATGGGTAATTATAAAATATGTATTAAGATTTACATGTACAGTACTTATAATTTAAATGATCGAACATCTACTTCTGTTGTAAAGTGAAATTAATTTGATTTTTTTTTCCTCGATCAGTTAAGAGATTAAAATGGAAACTGTATAAATTAACGGAATCAGTTAATTATTCTTGTGTATTCTGTACTAATTTGTTTTATGAAATTAATTATAATTATTTTACTCCCCGGTTGAAAAGTGTGGGGGGGGGGGTGTTTAATGATGGAGGTGTCCGTCCATCTGTCCGTCCGTCTAGCTGTCCATCTTTCTGTACAACCATCCATTAATATATATACTTTGGGATACCCATTTCTTATCAGCATCTCCTCTTATACCACTGAATGAAATTTGATGAGACTTTTACAAAATCTTTGTTACATATAGTGCCATTTTGCAACCCCTATTTTACTTTTAATTGGACACATATTTCAGGTTTCCCATAGCAAAATATGGACTTTGCCATTATAATAACATGGGAGGCAGGGGGTATCATTTTGTGAGCTCATTGCTCACAGTACCTCTAGTTTATTTTTATTTTCATTTTCAGATATAAATGCATGCTGTGTATGTAAAACATATGTAAAGTGTTGGTGGCTTAAAAATCTGAAGACATCAATGAGAAGGAACACAAAAACCATGGTGCATAAGTTATGTCCAACAAGTCCTTTAAAATACAGGTAAAAATTGCAGTACATTAATGAGCAAAAATTTCTACTTTTAAGGATCCTTCAATCACTTTTCAACAAACAAACAAATTATCCTTGCTATTTTTGTCTCACCTGCAAAGCAGAGTGACACTTAGGTATCACTTTACCCGGTGTCTGTCTGTCACACATTGGATTTGATATTTTGCACAAATTATTTGCATCGCACAATGACTTTTGTAAAATACCATAGTTACAAACTTTGAGACCATTGAATGTGACCTTTGACTACTTTTTTTAAATAGTTCATAATGAATGTATCCGGTTAGGCTTTTGATATTTAAGAGGTAAGTCTATGCTATTTAGTATGCGCACTGATTGTTGTCAATACCAACATTATGTGAACAGTCTACATGTCCTTGATCTTTGACCTACTTTGCAAAAAATACTCCAGACATTTAATTCAACATACATGTATGCCTTTTGAGTTTCGAGAGGTAGGGTATCAATAATTAATTAGCATTTTAATATGCCTGTTTATGAGCTCATGACACTGCACTTGCTGGATTATGTACAGTTACCACACACATTGAAATTTAAATACTCATATATTTCTATCAAAGTCTTACACACTTGACTATTCATGGATTTTTTTTTTCTTAGCAGGCAATAAGAACTATAATGCTAGTAGGAAATAAATACCTGACCACTCTTAAGATTATTTACACTTTTAATGATGCAATATAGGGAAGGTTACACTTCTTTGAAACACTCTAATTATATTATTCTGTATATTTTAAATTAAAATAAAAGAGCATTAGATATGTCATTTGATAATAAGTACAGGATTTTCCTTAGAAAGATATTGGCAAGGCTTGTCAGGTTTATTGTTAAAAATTTGGAACAGTGTATGAATGATTTTTTTTTTAGCTCACCTGACCTGAAAGCTTAACTAAGCATCTCATGTATTGTGATGAGGTTTTCAAATTTCTAAACTGTACAAATCATGACCCCTGGATGGTAAGATGGGGCCTTTCAATTGGGGATAAAAGTCTTTAAAAATCTTCTTCTACTGAACAACTTACTAGGAAAAAAAATGAAACTTTATAGAAAGCTTCCTGAGGTAGTGTAGATTCTAATCTGTTTTAAATTAATAAATTGTTGCCTCTAGGGGTAGGGTTGGTCCATAACAGGGGATCAAAGTTTTGCATGGAACTATGTAAGATTTTTTTTTTTTTTTTGAATGAAAAGTAACACATTAGAACCATTAATTTGCAAACATTCCCAATTTTTATACTTTTTTTAAATTATGAACCACAGGTTATAGAGTTAAAATATTAATTGGCATCATCAACTAAATGTTTTTAATATTTTCAGCTATGGATTGGATTCAGCAGCCAGAGTCACATGAGCACCAGATCCTTCTTGCTCCTATGACAGAGGGTCCTTGACTTGTGTGAAATTTACTGAAGCAGATGCTCCATTTGTCTGGTTATGCTATGCAATGATTCTGTCCAAATATTACAGAGGCACCAAAAGGGTATTGAACAAATCTTATGGGGGAAGTCATGAGGACACAAAGGATAACTGTCTCCAACTTTGAAGCTGTGCTTAATTTTGAGTGAAAAAGGTAATGCATGTGCGCATCTGCAAATGGGTGTCTGAACTTGTATAGAAAAAGTATGTGTAGCCATGTACAAACAATTTAAGAGCCCTCTATACACTGCACACTAAAGAGTTCTGATTTGTGGTATTTTTATGCAGATAGAGTAATCTGCCCTTTGATCTAGAATAAGATAAATTGACGTGTACAGTTTATTTCTTAATTTGTGATCAAATAAAGCATTTATAACATTTTAATAGGCTAAGATGACTAGATTGAACACTTTAATTTCCTGGTATTTTGCCCATTTAAGTAAACAACAGTGATTTTTGTTCATCAGTACTTCATTGTCTTTGAACATTTTTCCTGGGGGTAAATGCAAGGTAAACTATGTTGAACATGTAATAGATAAGCTCAACATTTACACCTTTACACACTATAATTTTCTCAATGTCTCCAAAAAATCTTTTCCTTTAGTGTATAGAGGATCCTGAATGCAATGAAATTTAAATTTTAGTGTAATGTTATATATTTAAATGTTTATGAAAAAATCAATGAATTAAATCAGATAAAACTGTTTTGTTTTATGCAAAAACTAATTAATTGCAGACTAGCTGTTTTAGCTCACCTGAGCTGAAAGCTCAAGTGAGCTTTTCTGATCACCCATTGTCCGTCGTCCGTCCGTCCGTCTGTCCGTAAACTTTTCACATTTTCTACTTCTTCTCAAGAACCACTGGGCCAATTTTAACCAAACTTAGTACAAAGTATCCAAGGGTGAAGGGGAGTTTAAATTGTCAAAATAAAGGGCCAAGTCCCCTTACAAGGGGAGATACATGTGTAATCATGAAAAGACAAAAATAGGGTGGGGACATTAAAAAAATCTTCTTCTCAAGAACCACTGGGCCAAAAAAGCTGAAACTTATGTGGAAGCATCCTGGGGTAGTGTAGATTCTAAATTGTTAAAATCATGACCCCCGGGGGTAGGGTGGGGCCACAATATGGAATCCAAGTTTTACATTGAAATATATAGGAAAAATCTTTAAAAATCTTCTTCTCAAGAACCACTGGGCCAGAAAAGCTGAAACTTATGTGGAAGCATCCTCAGGTAGTGTAGATTCTAAGTTGTTAAAAACATGATCCCCAGGGGTAGGGTGGGGCCACAATAGGGAATCCAAGTTTTACATTGAAATATGTAAGAAAAATCTTTAATAATCTTCTTCTCATGAACCACTGGGCCAGAAAAGCTGAAACTTATAAGGAAGCATCCTGGGGTAGTGTAGATTCTGAATTGTTCAAATCAGGACCCCCGGGATAGGGCGGGGCCACAAAAGAGAATTCAAGTTTAACATTGAAATATATAGGAAAAATCTTTAAAAATCTTCTTCTCAAGAACCACTGGGCCAGAAAAGCTGAAACTTATGTGGAAGCATCCTCAGGTAGTGTAGATTCTAAATTGTTCAAATCATGACCCACGGGATAGGGCGGGGCCACAATAGGTATTACAGTGGGGGAAATCTGGTAAAGAACAGCATGGCCAAAGTTACTAAGGTGAGCGATGTGGCCCATGGGCCTCTTGTTTACCTTCTTTTTGACCTTACTATTTTAAACTAAATTTAAAAGAAACCATTAAAGATATTTTTATCTTTATCACATATAATAAAACTTATTGGTGAAAACTTGCCAACTCTGTCCATTATTTTTTTACCTTGTCCTTCCCCATGACATTTTGTCTTTACTAATATTAGTTTGAAAGAAACTATTCTCAAGATTTTCTTTAAACCTCATTCACTAACACAAATTGGTCACAGCTATTCAACTGTGTCACATCTTTCTGACTTAACTTTCACTGTGACCTTGACCTCAATATCTCTCATTTACCTCATCTTTAACAAAGAAGCAAAGCACATTTCTTTTCATGTTGCATTACATTGAACACTGGGCAGGGCATTCATGTACTATGGGCATGGTTTTAGTTTTCAATGATTGAAATATTTTGGTTTACTTTTCAGGAATTTGGCTTGATGGATTGATTGGGTGCTTAAGGTGTTTCACATAATAAGTTCTGCATCCCCCTCTCTGTGAAGTATCTTACCAGACTCTGTATGCTAGGACAGCAATTTCCAAGTTTGTGCAAGTCAAGTGTACCTACTCTGCTGCATTATTAACAGCTGAAGATGCAGTCCATTATCTGAAAGACTTATACTTAGGTACATGTTATTGTTTATAATATAAAAAGGTTTATTACTCCAGTGCACCTTTGGGCTATCACCGACTACTTGGCGAAATTTATCTGTAAAAAATTTACCTTAGTTTACATAAATTCTATTTTCATATTTCAGAATACGGGGAAGATTCTTTACATCTGAAAACTGACCTTGCCTA